GGCACGCCGTTCCTCTGTCCCAGCCGTCGACCGAGTAACTCTCATTATAGAATCCTTACAGAAACCTCATTGCAACCCTTGTAGAACCTTTATAATTCATTTAGCCTTAAACTCTAGACCCCACACTACGGAAACAAAAACACAATCCTTATAGTCTAATGGCATCCCTATGGAACCCCCTATGTTGTTCACCCGAAAACCTTAATCCCTGGGCCCTAAACCCTCAACTCTGAACCCTAAACCCCTAGACCCTAATAAGCCCTAAACCCTAAACCCTAAACCCTAAAGCCCTAGACCCTAATAAGCCCTAAACCCTAAACCCTAGAGCCCTAGACCTAATAAGCCCTAAACCCTATTCCAGCATCGTTTTGCCCCAGAGACAAGGAGCCTCCGCCGCCCGGTGCCGATTCAGACCTGGCGGCCGCAACCAAGAATGGAGGCCGGGTTTAGGGTTTAGGGTTTGGGTTTTAGGGTTTAGGGTTTAGGGTTGAGGGTTTAGGGTTTAGGGTTTAGGGTTTAGGGCCCCTGAAATTCACCAGGACCCTCCGTGGGTCGAGTTTAGGGTTGAGGGGTTTTAGGGGTTTTAGGGGGTTTGGGGTTTTGGCGGATTCACTAGGACGTTTTCTAGGATTGTTTAGGGGATTATTCGGTCCAGGTTTTTGTTTCGGGGCTTGGATGATTTGGGGCTTAAGGCCTTGAAGGTTTGTTGCAAGGTTTGGGAGCTGAGCTCGTCGGCTTCAGGAGAAGACCAATAAACAACATATAGCAATATATATATATATATATATAATATAGTTTTGAGTAACGCAAAATCAGCAAAAATCACCTACAGCATATCCTATGTACAATATTCAAGATACATCTTCTTTTGCACTTTCATGAGAGACAACACAGCGACCCCAGCCGAACTACTCAGTCTTCTGTGCTTCAGGGTCTTGTGTTCGTCTTGGTTGCGACACATGCGCGGGGTCCGATGGTGCTTGTTTGCAGTTTCTGGGGTGCAGGGCAAGAGCTTGCGTGCGCAGCCTGCATAGCCATTTGCTGGAGACTCGAACTGCAAGATCAAGAACACGGGTCGTTGGGTCTGCTCGTTTTTATTTGCATAGTGTAGTACTAGCACTGCTGTGACGACAATGTCCGCGATAACTACCAGGACAACGTCGACGATCCGCACGACTGCCACGAGCACGGCGACTGTTAGTCCCTACTACGACGACTACTGCTTCTGCCTGTATTGCTACCACCACTATTACTACTACGCTATTACTATCACTAAATTGGTTGAAACCGCTACGAATCACTACCATGCTATTGCCAGTGCTACAAAACATTATGTAAATCCTGAATCTGAAGGCTGGGAGATCGTGCCGATTGTCACTCAGGCCGGTATCCACAATCTCAGCCAGTGGCGCTTCTCCCTAAACATTAAGCTTATATAACTTATATATATATAATATATATATATATATCTACATACATACATACATACATACATACATACACCTATGAATACAGTCATACCCTGTTCCAAACTGAGGGTGCCTACTTTTCGTGTACAACAGAACCTAACCATAAGACTAAGTAACAAGAAAGGAGGTAGGGTATGGCCAGGCAGTTAAACGTTACATCTCCAAACCCAGCTTAACTTGAAAACGCTAAAACCCCAACTGGGCCGAACCTAAAATGTGTGTAGTATGGTGGCTTTTTATTGCTGGAGGAGGGCAACTGGGGTGCAATGCAGTATGATGAAAATATGGAAAAATAATGAAATACAGGGATAAGAAGGGACATTACTCCCGAGCCGCATGCTACATCCCGAAAGTCTCACGTACGCCTGAAGCTCTACGGCACAAAAGGATCATGTTCGGGTTTGTCTTGCTCGCCCTCCGATGACGAGAGGCGTTATATTGCAATGCTTGGTAAATCGATAAATTCATTCTGGTTTCATTCGTGTGCTGCGAACCTGTGTTACATGACGACAGTTCCTTGCATGCCAAAAATGTCCAGCTTCCTTGCCTTTCGAGGACATACATCAACGTTTGCAGGCGTTCAGGCCTAACTTAGTCGGCTTGATGGTTGACGGTATAATTGCCAGCGAAGCCCAGAAAGGCTTAGAAAATTAGAAAGGTTTCGCTTCAAAGCTACATTCGACGTGCGGCTTTGGCTTAGACTGTATTCTCCTCCGTTTCTGTAGAGCTTGAGACAGTCGGCCTGGGATTCGCGAAGGACCCGCGATTACAGTTGACGGTGCGGTTATTTTTCGGATACATCGTTTTTCTCGCGAAGTTTGCCCTGCACCGTCTTGTGGATAATCACTTCATGGTTTGCATCAGAGTCGTTGTGGGAGCTGCGAACTATGATTACGGTTATCCTTATATCACACACGCACACAGATCAAGGCCTAAGTAAGACGCTCGGAAAGAAGCACTTATCGAAACACCCTTGTCAATTGCAATCATTCTGGCACCCTGGACTATAGACTATAGGAGTGCTCCCTGCCAAGCAGGTCTCGACGAAGTTGAGTCTCTGAGCAATCGGGACAGGGTGCTCTGGTCTTTGAGAGACTCGCTACTCTGATGATTGTTACGACTGAAAGTGTGAGTGCCACTTTCTTTTACCAAGGGTTGTTGTTCGTACTGTCATTATTCTTTATTTTTATTATTGGTATTATTAATGGTATGAGTACTACTAATCCCAGCAGCACTCGTTATTGTTGTTACATGTGATTATGGGAAACCCTAAACCCTAAATCCTCAACCCTGAACCCTAAATCCTCACTGACGAACCCAAAACCCAAGTCTTACTACCGTATTACTCCCATCTCCCTAAAACAGGGAGTTCGGCAGCCTTGTGAAGTCTCTCGCGTGCCATTCGATGGGTTTTTGGGGTTTTGGGGGGGTTTTCGGGGCGTGCCACAGGGGCTGCGTAAGGCTTGCTATAAGGATTCTATCTGTTTCGTGGGGCTATAAAGGTTCTAGAGGTTTCATGGGGCTATAAGGGTTCTAGAGGTTTCATGGGGCTATAAGGGTTCAATAGGTTTCATGGGGCTCGAGGTTTCGGGGTTTATAGGGTTTTGCAAGGGTTACACTATAAGAGTTACTATAAGAGTTCTACAGGTTTCACCGGTCTGCCGATGATGTGCCAGGAGTCTTTCCTCTTTGCGGGGTTTTCGAGGTTTCAGCATCTTCAACTTGACTTAGCATCTTTTCCTTGCTGGGGTTCTAAACCCTAAACAATAAACCCTAAGCCCTGAACCCTAAACCCTAAAAGTATTCCGAAGAAGCGCTTTGCCTTGGAGTTTCCGTTGAAGCAACCCAGAGACTTCGAAACTCTGCCAGCAGCTCGTCGGAACCAGAACGCACCAGGGTTTAAGGTGTAAGGTTCAGGGTTTAGGGTTTAGGGTTTGAGGTTTGCATGGGCTTTAGGGTTCAGTTTAGGGTTTGGGTTCGGGGTTTGGGGTCAGCACAGCTGTTCAGCAAGCCCCCAGCCGGCAGCGCATGAATGCTTCTTGCGGACCAGGATTCCCCCAACCCTACAGTAGAAGCCCAAATTCAATCCTTAAGAGTAATGTGTAGAGAATCCCAGCACTAATCATCCTTATTCCGGTTTCCAGCATTTTGGGGTTTACTATACACCCTCGCAGATTTGCAAGGCTCATGTTTGTCGGCCAGAGCACGATGGGGCTTCACATTGACATGAGGTACTCGTCCATGTCAGGAGCTATGCAGCATGTCCACATCAACTTTAAAGTGGGGAGTGTTCAGGATTTTCAATAATGTCGTCTGAACTGACATCTTAAGTGTGGTTCGGGTTGGTGCAGAAGGCATGTGTTTAGGAGTTCCAGTGTGGCGCCATTGCTTCCGGAAGACAGCAGTCCCTTATCCACTCCATAAACATCGAAGTCTCTCGCGAGATAGTTACACTACACCCGTACACCGAGCAACATAGTCGAGTCTTATATACTGTCCCTACACCCACACCCCCCAAATCCTTTTAGAACCACGAAACCTGTCTTCTTGGCTGCTCTGCACGCCGGCTTCGAAAGCTCCGGAGCCATGCGCTGTCGTGGACCTGGCCAGTGGCGCGAGTACCGTTTAGGGAATCTGGTAGTTCCTCTCTATATGCCGGTGACTTGGCCGGAGGAGAGTCGTTTGGGCTATTGTGACACCGTATTGCATGATTATATAGCGTCTTGTATTGTATCATATTACAGCGTCTCACATTACATGGTATTTTGTGGACTTTGTTGATTGTTGGGCTGCGGATTAAGATTCAGGGTCTGGGTCACATCCATCACAAGAATTCCTGTAGTACTCCTATGTAACAAATCATCCTCAAGGCGCCTTGGTATTTATGTGGCCACCCTATTGTGCCTATTCTACTTCTGAAGGGGATCCCTGCAAGGTTCCTTCAAAAGGAACCCTTCACGAACCCTAAGCCCTAAACCCCTAAACCCCTAAACCCCTAAACCCTAAACCTTATTCTAAGTTTTGTTTTAAGACCCCTGAACTCCTGGATTGTTTAGAAGCTCGCAGTCCGGCTCTTGAATCCTAGGTAGCATTCAGGAGATCCCTTAAAGGGGACCCTTCTCAACCCTACTTTATGGCTCCCTTAAACCGGGACCTTGTTGAGAGGGTCTATATCCCCACGGGGACCCCCTAATCCTAACTCCTATTGAAGGACGCCTGAGGCTAGTCCTGTGAGCTTCTGGTGCTGCAGTCACTTTAGCTTTGGGGGGGCCTTATGTATTTCGACTAGGTTGTTTGGGGGTGTATTGAAGTTTATATAAATGTCAGCGAGCCCTCAGGCGTGGGTTAGGATTATGGTTAGGGGGTTACGGGCTTCAGCCTCGCGACCCTGCCTGGAACCGCTGTAACTCGTAGCATCCGAGCCCCTGGAAGTCTAAGGACCTGGCTGTCCACAGCCGCACTTCCTGAATCCCGAACCTCAAGACCAGGGACCCAGCCACTGCGCCCTCACCCCTGCCAAACATCAGCAAGGAGAAGCCTGAAAAGGGCGCCAAGGACAAGGACAAAGGTGTTGTGCAACCTTTGCCGCTGACGGAGGTGAGGGTTTTTGGTTGACTCGACGATGTCGGTGGTTCTGGTTGTCGCACAACTTGATACCGCGGGTGTGTTCACGGCTATCGTCCCTGTCACTGTGTTCGCAGACAGTCCAACTTGTACGATTGCATCATAATCTCGCTGTCATCGTCATCATCACCATCATCACCATCATCATCATCATCATCACCATCATCATCACCATCATCATCACCATCACCATCACCATCATCATCATCGTCATCATTATGATGATCATCATCATGATCTTCATCTTCATCACCACCATCATCATCATCATAATCATGATCATCATCACCATGATCATGGTCATCATCATCATCATCATCACCGTAATCATGATGATGATCATCATCATCACCATCATCATCATGATCATCATCGCCAGCGTCGCCATTTCGACAATCCTCATATCATCATTCCCGATGTCATCATCGTAGTCCCCATCACCGTCGTCATGGCCATTACCATGTATATTGCTACTAGTAGCGTCATTATTATGCCTCCCCCTCCTTCTCCTCCTTCGCCTCCTCTTCCACACGCATCATAATTATTACACCATCGCCAGCAGCATCGTCGATGTCACCATCATCACCGCCATGCCTACCTGTGTAATCATCACCACCGCCATCAAGTCATCAGCTCCTAAATGGCACGGCTCTCGGGTTTAGGGTTTTGGGTCCCCTACACCTTAAACCATCTTAAACCGCAAGGTTTTTAAAGTTAGTCGGGTTTGCAGATTGCACAGTTGAGTGTTTTGGCCTCTAGCCTAGGCCCACTGAAGGGTCTCTGAGTAAGGGCTGCGTATAGCTAAGTTGAAGCCCTCGAAACTGAGGATCCTGGGTGCGAGCTTTAGGGCTGCAGGGTTCGGGGCTTAAGGGTTTAGGGCTTGGAGGTTTGGGGTCTAAAAGTAGGATTTTGAACCTTTGCGCCCTAAACCGGAGAGCTCTAAAGGCTCATGTGCAGGTCTGGTATAAGCAGATCGTAGCCCTGCAAACCTCTCGACGAAAAGCCCAATACCCTCAATTTCTAAACCCTGCCTTGTCCTGCAGAGACCCTTAATTCATCAGGCAAGTTTGCAATATCTCATCAGGCCAGGCCATATGGGTAGTTCGTTTTTGGGTCCCCAACATACTACGGCAAAAGGACCCTGAAAGGGACCCTAGTTTAGAGAACTACCCATATCATGCCCCTACTAAACCTGAGTCCGGCAACATAAGCGCAAAATCCAAACTCCAAGCCCAAACCCAGGCCCCAAACCGGAAACCTTAAGTTAACTCCAGAAGCCGAAAGCTAAAAGCCCTAAACCCAAACCGAAAGCCTCAAACCCTGAACTCCAGCCGTATAGTATTGCCATTTCTGCTACTATGATTATTAGTATTATTATTAGTATTCTCGAAACCAGCATCTGAATCTTTTTATTAAACCCACCCGAGCTCTAAGTAAGGCGGCCTTTGCAGGTGGTCCATCGCGCCTCGAAGCTGCTGGCCGCGAAGAACGCCATGCCAAAGCTAACGGAAGCTTGGGCTTCGCTGGTTAAAGGGGGGTTAGGGTTTGGCGTTTAGGGTTTAGGGTTTAGGGTTGAGGGTTAGGGTTTAGGGTTTAGGGTTTAGGGTTTGGGAATTGGGGCTTCGTGGGTGAACAGGTGTTGTTGCAGGCTTTGTTGGTGGTGTCGGAGGAGGATTGCAGGATTTTCGTTTGCCTGCTTGAGCCGTACAGAATTATGAGCCTTCTAGTAGCCATGACCCAGACGCCTGTTATGGGCGTTTTGGCACGTAGGGATGGAGTTTTGGGGGCGTCTCGTTACTTTTGGGGTCGGAGTCATACTGAGGCCCACATCTCTAAATCTGCAGCCCGAACCTAAGCCCGAAACCCTAAAGCCTTAAAGCCCAAGCCTAAAAAAGCCCCGAATCCCCTAAACCCTAAACCCCCAAACCCCGAATCCCCAAACCTGGCTCTGACACCCTTGGATTTTTATAAAAAAAAAACCAGCTCTGTGCTTGCCCTGAGGAGGCTGTTGCAGCCATGGTGAAGGACGGCAGGGTGACGGTTCTGACGCCCTAACCCTGCGCGCTACAGCCCTAAGATTTAAATCGCAAGCCCTAAACCCAAACCCCTGAAGCCAAACCCCTCCACTCCGTAAGAGCAAAAAACGACCAGTCGGTTGTGGCTATGGCGGTGTCTGGTTTCTGCATCCTTTTTTTAATACAGTTCCAAAGCCCTACCCTAAACCCTAAACCCTAAACCAAAAGATCTTTCGGCTCGTTGGGTTACAATCTGATGGGTAGTTGTCTAAACTCGGGTCCCTTTCAGGGTCCCGTTTACAAGGGCGCCGTGCTATTTTGGGGACCGTAAAGGGGCTTAAAGGGCTGCTACTGTTGATGATATAAATCCTGCATTACCTTAAGGACCCTAAACTATGGGAATTATGGTATATTCCTTATTATGGGTGATGCAGGATTTATATCATCAACCGTAGTTTAGGGAACTGCCCTTATCGAGAACCAGAACCCTTCTGACCCGGCGAGCGTCTCAGGATGAAGTTGCTGCTTGAGGCACATAGGATTTAGGGTTCAGCATTTAGGGGTTTAGGGCGTTTGGGGGTTTGGGGGTTGTTTAGGGGCTTATGGGTTTAGGAGCTAGGTTTTAGGCTGTAGAAGCCGGCATAAGCCTACTAAAGCCTAACGGAGACCTGCAGGTACCCTGCGAAGATGCAGCGACCTCTTTTGTCAAAGCTCTGAACGCAAAGCGCAAAATTCCAAACCCTGTATCCTCAACATTGGAGCCCCGATCCCTGACCGCTGGCCCATCAACCTCAATCCTCGACACTGTGGAAGTATGATACGACAGAAGTGGAACCTCTAGCCCTAAAGCCTTATCCTGGAGGAGCCTGACTCGCCGACCACCGGGCGTGTGCGGGAAGAGCGCTTCCGCAGCGTTCTGGAAGAGGCCCATGGCAGGGTCGAAAGCCAAAAGACATCGAATCCTTAACCCCCCAAACTCCAATACCCAAAGGGAAGGTGGCAAGCCAGCCCAAATCAGAGCGCCTCAACCCTAAATCCCTCAATGCGTGAAGCCCCAGAGCCTGCTAGAACCCTGAAAGGTTCTCTGTTGGGTTCTCTTGTAGACTCTTGACCGTGTGGAAGCCGGAAGCTTGGAGGGTCATGATGAAAGTAGGGTTTATAGGGTTCAATGTTCAGGGTTTATAGGGTTCAGGGTTTGAGGAGATTAGGGTACTAGCTAGGCCTTTGGGGCTTTCTAAGATTTTGCTTCTTGGGCCGAAGAGAATCCTTTCTTCGAGCAATTTTCGCAGGGTTTGAAGTGCCGCAGCTCGGGTAGAGGGAATCCCAGCACTGATCGGTTTAGGGTTTAGGGCTTTTGGGGTTTAGGGGTTTAGGGTTTAGGGTTATCCTGTTACGACCTTCTGGGACTCGCTGAACTAAAATCCTGATCCCTGCTTGGGTTTTCCCACATCGTCTGGTATTACTAGGAATAGTTTCTGTTAGTATGGCTCTGTGTTTCTGTGCTATATGATTATTACCACCGTCAAAGAACACCCTAAACCCTAAACTCTAAGCCCTAAACCCTAAACCCTAACCCTTCTGAAGGTGGCAAGCCAAGAGCTGTCCCCAGAGGAGCTACAGGTGGTCTTCCCCGAGACTGGGCCTTCTTTCGGAACGCATGTGAGAATGTTCATTGGGGGTGCAGGGGGGTTTGGGGGCTATTGGAGTTTAGAGCTGCGAACGCTAAACCCTAAACTGCCATGTTTTGAGTTGTGGGTTTTGTTGTTGCAAGTGCAGGGTCTTTTGGTGTTGGGTGGTGTGTTGTCGTAAGAGCAAATAATATAGGGGCCTCAATAATTAGAATAGGCAGAACAGGGTTTCGGGGTATATTATACTATAACTAGCCCACGCTGCTCTGCTGGGAATCACGATCATATAGGGGGCCGAAGAATTAGAATAGGGTATTGGGGCTCCCCTAGAGTATAGTTATAATAAGGAACCCTCGGGAAGAATGTTGGTGATTGTTATTTAATTTTGCTTCTATAGTAGACATGCATATGCCAGGGAGGAAGGGGTTGATGCGGATGCATAGCGCAGCTGATGCACGTTGTGTATATCCTGCATCTGCAGGCGTTTTCGGAGTTTCGACTCCTCCCAATAAATATGTAAGGCCAGACTGCTAAACTATGTACAACCTGAATCCGTAATCTTCTCGGATTATCGACCACTACTATAAATGCATACCTTTGGTTGGCGATCTCAGTATGGTCTGAACCCAGATGTTCCCACAGTTGAGGAGAAGCACATCATCACCAGAACCTGAGCGAAGCGTTCCAGCTTCCAGAATGGAAGAATTGCCCGGCAGCTTACAATGCTCTGCTGCGTGGCGAAAAAGCTTGCTTCTCGCAGCCCGTCACAAACCCTCAGCTCCCAATTCCTACGATCCTGAAAGTCCCGACTATATGTGGGTTATGCCGGGATGATACCACCACTTCTCCACGCACCCCTATATTCCGCAACTTAGTCGCAAAGCTTTTTCTCTTTAGGCTTTTGTCGTGGGTTGCCGCAATCATTGACCTTTCGCGAGGGTCCAGAACCACAGGACTTCGAAACCCAAGGCTTGTTCGACAGTCATGGCAAAAACCTGACAAATAAAGAGAACTGGTGACAATAAACGTCAAGAAAACGCCAAAAAAACAATAATAGACAAATCCGGACAAACTTAAAAGTTTGTAAAAGCTTTTTAAAGTTGAAACATTTTTCAATTTTTTCAAAGGCTTTCAGCACTATGTTAAAAACTTTCAAAGTTGTTAAAACAGGTACCAGAGATAAAAGAACAAGCTCGATGATGTACAGGATGAAGAAGACCTGGCACAGGGTGTTGTTCATCGACTCAAGCAAGGTTTTTCATTCTCGAATATGCGCGAAGCACTCTTTTTTCCGCGATGTCTGCAACTATGGTATGCCAATTGATTTGTTGCACAAATAAATTAAACTGTCGAAAGCCAGCCGAAACCAGGGGCAATCCGGCCTGTAATTTTTTTTAATGAATAGTTGAACGTATTTCAAATTAAATTCTACCGAAACAAACTTGACCAGACTGAGCCAGGTTTTATATGTCTTTTTGTTCTTCCGAACATAGGGGCGACGTTGTGATTCGTTTTTTGGCAGGGAGTTTTGAGCAGAAGACCCTGATCAAACGCCACCAAAAACACAACAACAGACTTGCACAAAACAATCACCAAACAAACACAAACAATCAACAGCAACTAAACTCATAAAAAGACAAAATAAGACAAACAACTACAAAGAATACAACAAATAATGCCAAACGCAAACAAATACTGAAATTGATTAGTAGCATCTCTCGCTAATTATATTTACAGATTCCATTACATTGGATGATGACTTTCATGTTACATTACATTGGATAGTGACTTTCATTCAATGAATAGCTTGATCACCCTGTCCTCGCCGATGTTGTAGAACAGCAGGAAGCCAGCACCGGAATTTGAATCACTCACAAAAAACGAAAATGAGCAACACAAAAACTTTAAGAACACATACCAACAAATAAAAGCAAACAAAGTCAAAAAAACAAACAAACAAGGCCAAAGTTCGCCAAGTGCGTGAAAAAATGAGGTTTTAGGCCTAAGGTTAAAAGGTGTTGTTAATGTAAAGCTTGTGGTTTTGGAGCCTCGCGAAAGGTTAAGGACGCAAGTACGTGTTTTGTTGCACTTCACCGACCGAGTTTACAGCAGCAAACGAAGCTGAAGCCTTAAAGATCTTGGACCTCTAATCTTTTGAAAGCTTTGTCATCTTATTTGTACATGGACATGCATGCATTCATGCATGTATGCATGTATGTGTGTATGCACGTATGCACGTATGTATGTACGTATGTATGTATGTATGTAGGTATGTACGTATGTATGTGTGTCTGTCTGTATGTATTGTGAAGTCCTCCGCCGCAGGTCAGCACGGGCAGGGGGCCTCGGAACCCGCTCGCTCTTCTTGTGTTGCCTTGTTTTTGGAGGCCTGGAAGCGAAAGTCCAACAAAATGCTCCTTATGCTTAAGCCATCGATTTCCTTTTAGCCGGCTAAGGAAGCGAGCTTTGTGTCACAGAAGCTCGTTCAGTCGCCCGGGCCCCTGGTTTGTAGCAGGATCCGATAGAGTTGAGGACTTAAAGTTTAGGGTTTTTAGGGTTTAGGGTGTAGGGTTTTAGGGTTTAGGGTTTAGGGTTTAGGATTTAGGGTTTTTAGGGTTTAGGAGTTTACGGTGTAGGGTTTGAGGGTTTAGGATTTAGGGTTTAGTGTTTAGGATTTAGGGCTTGCATGTCATGGCGCCAATGAGATGCGCCTGCCCTGATTCGTACTGCGATCCGGGATGTCCCTTCAGATAGACCTTCGAGCTTCTTTAGTCTTTTCTGACTCGTAAGGCCCTTGCAAGCCCCCCCTACCATAGCCGCAGATTCATACCCATGAAACCCGAAGGGTGCGCCGAAGAGTAGTATTCCGGGCTTATGTGATAGATCAAGGTGCTTATACAGGGGTTCATACAGGGTGTTCACAGGGTTTTGTTAGGGCTTAGGGTTTATATAAGGTTAAGGGTTTATATAGGGTTTAGGCTGCCCTTGTCCGGGGATTTCCAGATCGGTTTCCTGCTGGGGCTCCGACCTCCGGCCTCCCAGTGGAAGTGCTGGCGGTTTCGTTCCAGGGTTTAGTGAACCCTAAGCCCTATAAACCCTCAACCCTAAACCCTAAATCCAAAACCCTAAACACTAAACCCTAAACTGAATGTAGGGGTCTAGGCCTTAAAGGTACAGGGTTTAGGGTTTAGGGTTTAGGGGTTAGGGTTCAGGCTTTAGTGGGTAGGGTTCAGGGTTTAGGGTTTGCGGAAAGCGGAGCCTTTAATGTCCAAAGCCACAGGACCCTAGGGACCCCAGGCCGTGAACCTGATCCTGGAGGTTGGTAGCAGTAAAGCTCACACAAGCACACATACATGCACGTAGGTAGGTGTGTATATGAATACATGTACATTCTTTATATATCTATATATACTCTCTCTCTCTCTCTATATATATATACACACACATACATGTATATGCGTATATGTATATTATGTGCATGCTCCCTATACATATAGTATCCTATCCCCCTTCCCACATGAGAGCAAGCACGAGAGTATTGCGGCAGCGTTGGTGTTTCTATCCCCGATCATATGTGAGTTTCTGAAAATAAGGGGTACGTTATTTTGGGGTCCTTCTAATAAGGATCCTACTATATAGGGTGCT